ACACCTTTGGTACCCTTCCAACCACTCATCCAAGAAATACTGTATTTACTGAAAACCAGCAAACAGGCCAGGTGTTGGATGCTTTCCCTACTACTAGACCATACTTTGGATTCTAGAGAGTGGTTTATGTCAATTCCTTAAGATTCAAACTACTGTTATCTTGTCTCTACTAGTGACCCAAGTGCCAGGTCCAAGGACTTGTATCTGTCCTGTTAGAGTTATGCTGCATTTGCTTCTGACTTACTATTTCCCTTTTACTCTGCTATTCCTTCTCCTATGACCAAATACATGTCTCTTGGGTTTTAAACGGCTATCCCACCACTATATTCTTTTCCTTGGTTGTCCTCGTCTCTCCAGTGGCTCAATTCATCTACTTCCCTGTACCTGAAATTATTCTGGATATCCCACAAAAGCCTCAAACCTCAAAATTATCATTATTACAGTCGCACACTGTTCTCCACTCCTTTATTCTCCATGTCACCCAGGATTATTCACCTGAGTATCTGAGAGTTCATCCTGGATCCCTTCCTGCATCCCCTTCGCCTTCCTGATCTCCACATTGAATATCATGGAACCGTTTTTTGGACTTTTCTCCTCTCCACTGCCCTCCTTCAGGCCCCATCATCTCCTGCAGGGGCTATGACAAAGGCCTCCTCTGATTTCCTTTCTATTTTCTTCACCGAAGGCTGCAGCTAGCTGCTAATTCTGCCCAGTACCTCAACTGTACGCCTGCCCATATAAAATTTCAAAGAACTTTTTTTTTTTAAAGGATATGACACACCTTGGAAACTGCATACAAATAAGTGGTAAGACAAAGGGTCCCAGATTAACATGGACAACTTTTCATTTAAATAAAATCTGCACTGGTAAGCTTACTCAGCAAGATGTTCCCCAAACCTCAATCTCCTAAAAATCCCACATTACCTTCTACTGAGGAAGTTGTGGTCATTCTTTGGAAAAACTTGAATTCGTTCCTACAAGTTAGACAAACAGCGTTACTCAAAACATTCTCCCGCGGGTTCTAGCTCTAACGCGACCCACAGACGCTGCGCTGGAGGAGTGGGCGGAGAGTGGGGGGGGGGGGTTCTCCGGGACCCGGACTTTGTCCGGAGGCAGGACGCTGCGGGGGGAAAACTCCTCGCCGGGCGGCAGGAGCAGGACGGAAACCAATAACTTGTCCTCCCGGCTTCTGATGGCGGAAAGAAGCCCAGGCCCAGTTCCCATCAGCTCGGGTCCCAAGTCCGACACCCTCCTTCCGCCGCAAGTGTCTGCGTGACCCCGTCCTAGCGCAGCGATCAAAGGCAGCCCGCGCCAGCTCTCCCAAACCCAGTCTACCCCCTGCCCGGCAGGTACCTGAGCGGGGGCCACGGCAGGTCCCCGTTCTTGCCGATGCCCATGTTCTGGGACACAGCGGCGATGCAGTTTAGCGTACGAACCATGACAGCGGCTGTAAACACCTCCCAGCTAGCTCACCAAACCGGGATTCGGCCCGCCGAGCTTGGCGCGAAATTGTGGCCACCCCGCCTCCTAGGTCCCATTTGTGCAGCCGAGACTCCGCCCCCCGCCCCGGCG